ACTGATGGATTAAAATGTTTATAAATTCTCATTCTGATTGACTCTCCAGAGAGATCTCAAAGTCTCCCTTTTACTTAGACTTGATTTGATTTCTATGTTGTTATTTCAGGGAGTTTCACATTTCCAAAGTTGTTGGTGATTTCCTTGCTCTTTTTTGGCATGTTCTGAGTGAAGTTAGGACTTCATCAGGCAAGACCAGTCAGCCCTTGGAGAGTGTGTTTCACCTTATTTATTCAGGTGCTTATATTTATGTCCACACTCCTAAACCTGCGGGGGTTCTTGCTTTTGACATCTACTAGTTACTAACACTTAGATTCATGTAGCTGCACTTGTTTATCTTTAAAGACAGCTGTTTCGACTTTAGTAGTGACCACTTTTGAGAAATGGAGAGTCTTACATAAGTGTAAAAATATTTTTAGTTCTCAGTAAAAGAGGTAAACTTTTTTTTTTAAATGAAAATGAATTTCCTAGCTGAGACATTTCAAATCTATCCAAAGCCAGCCTGAAGGACACACACACACACACCTCTGGCAGCTCAGCCATCATTGCTAAAGGACATGGCCCCAGCATTGATATTGAGGTCTGTTGGGAAAGGCCACAGTGTCCTGCTAAGAAGGGGATCTGGTTGCAGGTGTGTGATGGCAGCCAACTGTTGGCAGTTGTGCATGGGTAATGGGAAGGTGTGCTGGTTCAACTCAGCACCAGAGCTGAAAGGTCCCCAAGAGATGGTGTCATCTGGTGGCCTAAACCTGTGCCATGTGGAATCCCCCTCAGGGTCATCTGCCACCTGATCATAGTCACTGTCTTTTCCATGCTCTTTGCATAATCTTGGTTTGAAGAAAGTGTTACGTAGCTAAAATAAAAATTTAAAGTAGCAGTTCAGTTCAGTTTCCTGTACATGAGGGTGGAGTCAGGGATGGTGATGAGAACATTTGCTCAAGGTTCTGGGACTTGGAAGTGGCTCAGTGCAGAAGTGGCCCAAGCCAGGACCACGGGGAGTGGGGAGTGGTCAGTGGTGGTCTCAGGAGCTTCCCTGGCTGTCCAGTGGTTAAGACTTTGCCTTCCAATGCAGGGAGTGTGGCTTCGATCTGTGGTCAGGGAGCTAAAATCCCACATTCCTTTTGACCAAAATTTAAAAAAACAGAAGCAACATTGTGACAAATTCAATAAAGACTTTAAAAGTGGTCTGCATCAAAAAATATTAAAAATAGTGGGCCTGGACAAGCTGTCTAGGTTCTATTAGACTTAAGCCATCCTTCTTTTTTTTTCCCCAGGCAAGTCATGCACAGGAATTTCACTCCCATCTCCACACCACAATTTAAATGGGATTCAGACGGACTTGTCTAAAATGCTCATATGCTGCTTAATGGCTATGAGGCTTTGGACAAATTTGAATAAATATAACCTCTCTGAGTCTCATTTTTCTCACTTAAAAATGATAAGAATAAGACTTACCTCAAATATTTGTTGAGAACTAAATACAGTTGGCCTTCCACAGCTGCAGGTTCAACCAACCACAGATTGGCCAACCTTGGCTAGAAAATACTGCCCCCTCCAAAAAAAACCTTAGAAAAATTCCCAAAAAAGAAAAAATCTGAATTTATTGCTCATCTGCTACTGTTTGTGTAGCATGTATATTGTATTTATAACTATCTACATAGCATTTACTTTATATGAAGTATCACAAGTAATCTAGAGATATTTAACGTATGCAGTATACAGCCTAGGTTATATACAAACTTGATGCCTTTATATATAAATTACTTGAATATTCATGGATATTGGCAGATGCAGGGGGTCCTGGAACCAATTCCCTACGGATATTAAAGGATGACTGCAGTAAATATCAGGTCTAAAAAAATATTCATCACAGGCCAGGCTCTCTATCAGAGATGGCTGTTGGTGTTTGTGTTCTTGCCAGGTTGCCTCCCAAGAATTCACTCATGTTGGTGGCAAGAAGGTAGGAGCAAGGATACTAGGTCTTACTTATCTGGAAGCTATAGAGTGTGGCCTGGAGAAGACTAACTTGAGAGGATCTTCTTGGGGGAAATTGGTTCTCACACCTAGCAGTAGGTCCAGTTAAAGGCCAATAACCAATCAGCGGTAAACCATTCTAAGTTAAACATCCTTCTAAACCTCCTTCTCCATGGGAACTCTGAGAACAAGGCAGCTGAAAAGAATCCAGATGAGGAAGAGTTGAGTCATGGTAGGAGACAAATCCTAAAACAATTCCCTAAGCAGAAGAGGTAGCTTCTAGAAACTACTGGCATGCTAAACAGACACTCTCTAGAGTACAGGAAAGTATAATTTCCAGAGTCTTCTGCTCTGTGTTCACTTTCCCTGCCTCCCTGATGATACTCGAGCCTCCTCCAGGCAACTTCCTTAAAGCTTGGTCTATTCCTATCTGCATGTTAACCCTGAGTCTAAGACAGAGGTGGCAGATAATGGCCTGCTACCTGTTGTTCAGATGCCATGTCATGTCTGACTCTTTCTGACCCCATGGACTGCAGCACACCAGGCTTCCCTGTCCCTTACCATTTCCTGCAGTTTGCCCAGGTTCATGCCCATTGAATCAGTGATGCTAATTCAACCATCAGCTTGAATCAGTGACCCAACCATCTCATCTTCTGCCACCCACTTCTCTTCCTGCCCTCAATCTTTCCCAGCCTGAGGGTCTTTCCCAATAAGTCAGCTCTTGGCATCAAGTGGTCAAAGTATTGGAGCTTCAGCTTCAGCATCAGTCCTTCCAATGAGTATTCAAGGTTGATTTCCTTTCAGATTGACTGATTTGATCTCCTTGCTGTCCAACAGACTCTCAAGTCTTCTCCAGCATCACAGTTCGAAAGCATCAATTATTTGCTGCTCAGCTTTCTTTATGGTCCAACTCTCACATCCACATGTGGCTACTGGAAAGGCCATAGCCTTGACTATACGGACCTTTCTTGGCAAAGGATGTCTTTGCTTTTTAATACCCTGTCTAGGTTTGTCTGCTACCTGAGAGAGCGCTAAATGTGAGAGAGCTTTGTGAAGAGCTACCAAAAGCATTTGGGAAAAGGGAAAATGCTCAGTTATTTGCATTTCCCTGGTGTCTCCAGGGCTTCCAGTCTGCTGGTACACAGGGCATCCTGGACATCTCATCAGATGTTGCCCAGATCCTTGCTCTTCCTCCACTTCCAGTTATAGGAAGTCAGTCCTCTGTCAGGACTGGACATCATAGTAGCAAAGAGTCAGACATGACTGAGCAACTGAACTGGTGATCGTGTCTCATCTCTTTTGTAAATATTAGTCAGTGCAGTGTGTCCTAACTTCACATAGGAAGCAACATTGAGGAACCAGGATGGGTTACAGAGCAAATGAGTGTAATAAACTCTACAACCCAGAGAACACTGTGGGCAGAGGGCAGGATGTGGTTTTGGTTGTCCCAATTCCGAGTCAGAGGCAGGGCCTCAGGAGGGGGTGGTGTTATAGATGCCTTCGAAGAATAGGACCAGACTAATAAGTGGAAATTACAAGGGGGAAGTTCTAGCTCAGCGCAGAAGAGAACTGGGAGTTGATGTGTGCCCCCAGCACCAGAAGTATTCAAGCCGAGGCTGAGTGGCCATCACCAGGGATGAGGAAGGGGTTGAGAGGTTTGCTGTTCTGCTTGCATGTTCTCCCCAGCCAGTGCTCCAGGGTCCTGAGGAGAGTAGGGAACAGGTATGTCACTGTCTTCCAGAGAGAAATCTTCAAAGATTGGGACTCCGCTTGTCCATCAGCCCAGGCTTCTTGCCTTATTTACTCTTTTGGTAAATTCATCTTTTGTCTATCCCCTAACTCCTTTTGGCTTCTTTTGTGGCTCAGATGGTAAAGAATCCACCTGCAATGCAGGAGACCTGGGTTTGATCCCTGTGTTGGGAAAATCCCCTGGAGAAGGGAACAGCTATCCACTCCAGTTTTCTGGCCTGGAGAATTCCATGGACTGTATAGTCCATGGGGTTACAAAGAGCTAGGCATGACTGAGTGACTTTCACTCACTCACTCACTAAGCCATTCTAAACCCATTGAAACTTTTCAGACTTGACCACCACTTGGAGTTAAGCTTCTCAATGTGTGAAGTAGCACTTCATAGTAGTTTTGGTTTTAAATAGACCTCTTTCAAGTTTCAGGGCAGTGCTTCTCAAGCTTCTGGGAGTTTGAAGATGTTTTCAGTTCTCTTTCTGATTCTGTAGCCTCTCTTGGGTTTTGCCTTTTGAACTATGATCCTCATATATTAAGTCTTTTCCATACTGAAATCTATGAGTGACCTTTAGAGTTTTACTGTTGTTTGCTAGATCTTTGTCCAGTTCATTTTGTACCTTCTTGGAATAGAATGTCCTGAACCATATGCAGGTTCTCCAGCTTACATTTCTGCAGTTTTATTCATGTTTATTCTGTGGGAGACAGTGTGGTATATATGAAAATGCAAGATTTTAGGGCAGAAAAAATCCTGGTCCTTCCACTAATACTATGGGCTGTGCAACTTTGAGGAAGTTATTTAACCAGCGGCTTTGAGCATCAGTTTCCACATTGGCAAGATGGAGATAGCAGTATGTACCTCAGATATTCAAGAGGATAAACAACCTGGCATTTTAAAGCCTAGTACCCTGCCTTGCATTCAGTAAGCTCTGAATAATTTAGAGGAGTAGAAGGAGGAGAAGGGAAAGAAAAAGTTCTCATTTTTGCTTGTAATATCCTTTTGATAATAAGGGATCTCTTTGATAAAATAGGTAATAGTTATTTCAGAGCTGTACTTTGAACCTCCCTGTCATATTCCAATTTCACTTATCTTTGTTGTATTAATTATTTTCCATTTCAGTGGAAGAATGGTATTCTTCTTCCATTTCAATCATGTAGATAAGAATGTTACATTTGACCATTATTAAACATAACTTAAACTTATAGCCTTGTATCTTTATGAACATAAGTAAGTAGTATGTGAGAGAGATAGAGAATGAACCCATTATCTTCTGGTTAATGTTTAGACAGTCCTGGCATCTCCCAGAAACAAGAGCTACTGCGAGAGAAGTGGGAGAGGAGCCACTTGCGAGGCAGAAGCCTGTCTCGGCGTTCCATCAGCAAGGAGAGGTGGGTGGAGACGCTGGTGGTGGCCGACACGAAGATGATTGAGTACCACGGGAGAGAGAACGTGGAATCTTATATCCTCACCATCATGAACATGGTATGTCAGACCTCATGGAGGCATGGGCAGCAGGTGAATAGATATCACTAGAACTGCTCCACCCCCCAAATAAGAAATAAGAGACCTTTTTGTGGCCCTTTTATATTCTTTAATTTTTTAAATTTGTTTGGTTGCACAGCTTGTGGGATCTTAGTTCCCCAGCCAGGGACTGAACCTGGGCCCTTGGCAGTGAAAGGGCACAGTTCTAACCACTGGACTGCCATGGAATTCCCTAGTCCTACATATATAATATGTAATAGTTTTATGTGTAGTATTTGTATTTATATTTATAAATATGTTCCATACCTTGTTGAACTTTCCTGATGGCTCAGTGGATAAAGGATGCGCTTGCAATGCGAGGAGACCCTGGAGATGCAGATTCAATCCCTGGGTTGGGAAGATCCCCTGGAGAAGGAAATGGCAACCCTGTGAAAACCTGTGAAATCCCATGGACAGAGGAGCCTGGTGTGCTGCAGTCCATGGGGTCACATAGAGTTGACATGACTGAGCAACTAAATACACACATGCCTAGTTAATTACGGATGGAAATTCAAAGCAAATTACTGTTTTTCTTAAAAACATGTATTCTAGGAAAACCTGTAATTTATCAAATATGTTTTCTAGTAGTTATTTATCAAATGACTGAATCATTTTAGTATGATTTTTTTCTCACTGATTTATATAGGAAATTATATAGGAATTTCCACAAATGAGGAAACTGAGGCAAAGAACTGGAACATTATTTCTTCAAGATAGTTGGAGCTAGAATTGGAATGAAGTTAGTGACCCCGAATTTGAAGCGTCCCTTTTGCATTGTAATGTTTTCTGCCTTCCCAATTGGTCATCTTTGAACTCCACCAAAAATTTCTGACCTATAAGATAAGGAATTATTGCAAATGCATTACAGTGCTGTTTTTCTCCTCCTCCAGTATTTATCTGTTCTCTATTCACCTGAGACTAATGATTTTCCATTTTTGACTGTAGGTCACCGGGTTGTTCCATAACCCAAGCATTGGCAATGCAATCCACATCGTTGTGGTTCGGCTCATTCTACTTGAAGAAGAAGAGGTAAGGCATGGTTTCCCCACCACACTTCCAACCTAGACCCTCACACTCCTTGGCATGCTAAGTCACTTCAGCTGTGTCCAACTCTTTGTGACCCTATGAACTGTAGCCTGCCAGGCTCCTCTGTTCATGGGATTCTCCAGGCAAGAATGCTAGAGTGGGTTGCCATTTCCTACTCTGAGGGATCTTCCTAACCCAGGAATCAAACCTGCGTCTCTTACGTCTCCTGCATTAGCAAGTGGGTTCTTTACCACTGGTGCCACCTGGGACATCCTTCACACTCTTTACCTCCTATCTTCAGAAGAGCTGTTGATGGACAAGAAAGAGGGTACCAGAAAGATGTCTGGAAGCCCATCTGTGTTATTTTCTTGGGAATTCAGGGACGTCAAGTGGGAGATGGAGAACATTTCCAAGATATACATACTTGGAATTATCTGACAGTCTTTGTATCTAGTAACACACAAATCAGCTTGACAGCAGTGCCTAAGAATATTCCACAGTGGATTAAATCACGTTCTGACTGAGTGATTTCAAACAGTTCGAAGAGATGTGGAAATATTGAACCTTTTTACTGTTTATTTCCCTCTTGCATAGTGACACATGTCTATGTTCTGGGCCCATTGGTCTCTCTGCACTTTTACTCGGGGATTCCATCTGGCCTCAGAGACTTACGGCACGTGGACATGCTGAGACTCAACTGATACCTCCAGCCTAGACCTGCTACTCGAGCTCCAGACTCATATCCAATTGCTTATTCAACATCTCAACCTGGATGTGTTCTAATCTACTTGAACTTGGAAACTTAATAAAATTCAAAAGGGAATTCTCGGTTACTCTCTGCCCAAAGCATTTCAATTGTGCCTCCTGCCTTTCTCCAGCCCTCCACTTCCCCATCTCAATAAGCATTGCTATTGTGCACTGTTCAGAAGCCTGGGAATCATCCTTGATCCACCTTGCTTTCTTGTCTTGCACATCTTGCAGCAAAGCCCACAGTGTTCCTGCCTTCAAATTGCATCTCCGAATCACCCACTGTTAGTCATCTCCACAGTCATTGTGTTTGTTTTGGCTTTATCATTGCTTTCCTTTTCATCTCTACCACAGCGGAGTCCTTCATGTTCTTCCTGTTGTAACTCTTCCCCACCCACCACCACCATAATCCAATCTTGACATAACAGTTTAGAATGGAAATTTTAAATACAAATTGGGGTGCTCCACTGCACAAGACATTTAATGGATTTTTGGGCTTCCCTGGTAGTTCAGTTGGTAAAGAATTTGCTTGCAATGCAAGCGTTCCTGGGTCAGGAACATCTGCTGGAGAAGGGATAGGCTACCCACTCCAGTATTCTTGGGCTTCCCTTGTGGCTCAGCTGATAAAGAATCCACCTGCAATGTAGGAGACCTGGGTTTGATCCCTGGGTTGGGAAGATGCCCTGGAGAAGGGAAAGGCTACCCACTCCAGTATTCTGGCCTGGAGAATTCCATGGAATAGAGAGTCCATAGGATCATAAAGAGTTGGACACGACTGAGCAACTTTCACTTTCACAGAACCATTTCAGCATTTCTTACTCTGTCCTATGGAGAGTTTCATGATCTGGCCTCCTTCTACTTTCCCATTTTTCTGTGTGTAACTCTCTGCCTTTCTTCACCACTTTGCACAGGGCTTCATGTAGGTTCTAGAACACCCAAGGCATTCTTTTTTTTTTTTTTCCCAAGGCATTCTTGAGCCTCATGGCCCGTGTGCTTGAGGTTCCCAATGCCTGAAATGTGCCTCCCCTGGCTCTGCTCATGGCTGGCACCTTGTGAACTTCCAGGCCTCTGTTTAAATGACACTTCTTTAGAGAGGTCTCAATGACCAGACTTCCCAAAGCTGGCCCCACTTAGCATTCTCCATTGCAAAATGGAGTTTACTTCCTTTCTTAATACAGCTTCTAGAATCCATTAATATTCTGTGTATTTGTTTACTTTTTTCTTGCTTATCTCAGTCACCATCAGAATGTGATGGTAAACATAAATACATTTCTTTATTCTTGGCTTTATCTTCGGCACCTAACACAGTGCCTGGGCATAAATGAATGAATAAATGAATTAAGTGAAATTTAATCAATGAATGAACTATCCAATCTGGTGAAATGACTTTGAAATTTATAGCTCTTAACCAGCAGCTCAGATAGATAAAGAAGGGCATCATTCAAATCTCCATTAACAGGAGTTGTTCAGTTGCTCAGTTGTGTCCTGCTCTTTGTGACCCCATGGACTGCAGAATGCCAGGCTTCCCTGTCTTTCACTACCTACCAGAGTTTGCTCAAACTCATGTTCACTGAGTTGATGATGCCATCCAACAATCTCATCCTCTGTAGCTACCTTCTCCTCCTGCCCTCAGTCTGCCCCAACATGAGGGTCTTTTCCAATGAGTCAGCTCTTCACATCATGTGCCCAAAGTGTTGGAGCTTCAGCTATAGTATCTGTACTTCCAATGAATATTCAGGGGTGATTTCCTTTAGGATTGACTACTTTGATCTTGCTGTCCAAGGGACACTTAAGAATCTTCTCAAGCACCACAGTTTGAAAGCATCAATTCTTTGGTGCTCAGCCTTCTTTGAGGCCCAGCTCTCATATCTATACATGACTACTGGTAAAACCGTAGCTTTGACTATATGGACCTTTGTTGGCAAAGTAATGCTCTGCTTTTTAACACATTTTCTAGATTTGTCAAAGCTTTACTTCCAAGGACTAAACATCTTTTAATTTCATGGCCACAATCACCATCCGAAGTGATTTTGGAGCCCAAGAAAATAAAGTCTGTCACTGTTTCCATGTTTTCCATCTATTTACCATGAAGTGATGGGACTGGATGCCATGATCTTTGTTTTTGGAATGTTGAGTTTTAAGCCAGCTTTTCCACTCTCCTCTTTCACTTTCATCAAGAGGCTCCTTCATTTCCTCTTCACTTTCTGCCATTAGGGTGGTGACATCTACATATCTGATATTACTGATATTTCTCCCCACAATCTTGATTCCAGCTTGTGCTTCATCATGCCTGGCATTTCACATGATGTACTGCATATAAGTTAAATAAGCAGGGTGACAACATATAGCCTTGACGTATTTATTCCTTTCCCAATTTGAAACCAGTCCATTGCTCCATGTCTGGTTCTTACTTTTGGTTCTTGACCTGCATACAAGTTTCTCAGGAGGCAGGTAAGGTGGTTTGGTATTCCCATCTCTTAAGAATTTTCCACAGTTTGTTGTGATCTACACAGTCAAAGGCTTTAGCATGGTCAATGAAGCAGAAGTAGATGTTTTTCTGGAATTCCCTCGTTTTTTGTGTGATCCAATGGATGTTGGCAATTTCATCTCTGGTTCCTCTGCCTTTTCTAAATCCAGCTTGAACATCTGGAAGTTCTCGGTTCACATACCTTCAAAGATTGTGATCATTACCTTGCTAGCATTTGAAATGAATGCAATTATGTGGTGGTTTGAACACGCTTTGGCATTGCCCTTCTTTGGGATTGGAATGAAAACTGACCTTTTCCAGTCCTATGGCCAGTGCCAAGTTTTCCAAATTTGCTGGCATATTGACTGCAGCACTTTAACAGCATCATCTGTTTGGATTTGAAATAGTTCAGCTGGAATTCTATCACCTCCACTAGCTTTGTAGTAGTAATGCTTCCTAAGGCCCACTTGACTTCACACTCCAGGATGTCTGGCTCTAGGTGAGTGATCACACCATTGTGGTTGTCTGGGTTATTAAGACTTTTTTGTACAGTTCTTCTGTGTATTCTTGCTGCCTCTTCTTAGTATCTTCTGTTTCTGTTGGGTCCATACTCTTTCTGTCCTTAACTGTGCCCATCTTTACATGAAATGTTCCCTTGGTGTCTCAATTTTTTTGAAGAGATCTCTAGTCTTCCCCATTCTATTGCTTTCTTCTGTTTCTTTCACTGTTCACCTATGAAGGCTTTCTTATCTCTCCTTGCTATTCTTTGGCACTCTGCTTTCAGATGATATATTTTTCCTTTTCTCCTTTGCCTTTCACTTCTATTCTTTTCTCAGCTATTTGTAAGGCCTGAGAGACAACCATTTTGCCTTTTTGCATTTTTCCTCTTGGGGAAAAGTGCCTTTTGGTCACTACCTCCTGCACAATGTTATGAACCTCCATCCATAGTTGTCCAGCCACTCTATCAGATCTCATCCCTTGATTTGTCTCTTTCAGTGTATAAGAGATTTGATTTAGGTCATTCCTGAATGGTCTAGTGATTTTCACTACTTTCTTCAATTAAAGTCTGAATTTTGCAAACAGGAGACATGAGGTCAAAATGCTCAAGGCAAGTTTTTACTGTTTTCTGAGTGGAAACCTCCACAATAGAAGATTTTACATCAGTGATCTCTGGAGCCTTACCCTTTTTCCTTCCTCTCTCCACTACCACTTCTACTTGCCTTAGTCACTCAAGACATACTCTGGGTATCATGGTATACCTACTATTGCCCTTCCTGTAAACCTTTTGTTTTTAAAAAAGATTTAACCCAAACTTAGAAACTAGGCAAAACAAAGACTATGTATCCTTTCAGTGGCTAGCATGACCCTTCTCACTCTATGGAAATATAGATTTGTTTGATTATGGTCTAGACATGGTAAAGTTAGGTGATAACATGCAGGATACTGATAGAATACAGATGGGTTTTTTTAGGTAGAGATGGAAAGGATTTGTGTCCAGCAGAGAAGATAACTCCAAAGATTATGGTTTTATTTGTCTGTGGCACATTACATAATTGTGTATCTAATTTAGCAGTCTTAGTCCAGCATTCCTCTTCTTTGTTGTTTTTTATTTTTTTTTTCACTATCATTGCATCAGTTTCTATGTATCTACTTTTGAACCAGGTTTTTGATCTTGCTTGTCTCCTTATTAGTGAGTTAAATAAATCTTGAACATGTGCTCACCATGTATTTGTATGAGAATTATGTTTTTAACTTTTTGAAAATTTTACTTGACTAACTTGGAAGAAAA